GTGAATGTATTGTTTTGGATGACGTTCGTTGTTGTTGTTGTTGTTGTTGGTGGTGGTGGTGGTGTCGTTGACGGTGACGTTTGTGGCGTTGTTGGTAGTGGAGGTGTTTGTGTATGAGTTTGTGAGTTGGTTAGGTAGTTAGTGAGTTTCCAGTTATCGATGTTGTTGTCGTTGTTGGTGTTGTTGATGATTGTGTTGTAGTTGTAATTGTGGTGGTGTTGGTGTTGGTGGTATGTTTGTGCGTGTGCGTGTGCTGTGTGTGTTTTTGTGTTTAGGGTTGATGAGATTGATGTGTTGAGTGTTTTGATTATGAGAGTGTGGTAGTTTGTTGGGAGTGAGTGATGTGTTTATTTTTGTGTGTATGCATAGGTTTGTTTGTTGTACTTGTTGAATGGGGGAAGGGGGGGGTATATCAATGATGACAAGGAAGTGTTCAGATCTCATGAATTTGCAATGCTCTAGAATTACTCTGATAGTGTTATGTGGTTTGTATTAATGTTGATATATGTATTTGACGTGAGTGTTTATGTTTATTTTGTGTATTTGTGTTGTCCATTTCAGAAGGTGTTATTGTTGTTGTGGAGTAGTACGCTCGCTATGAGGTGAAATGGTTGACGTTGGTTTGTGGAGGAGGAGACGTTGGGGATTGTGGCGGACGATGGGTATGTGATGATTGTTTATTGTTATGCATTGGTATTGTATCTGATGTATGGTGGTTGGGTGTATATTTTAGTTGATTTGAGGCGGTTAATGGTGTGAGTGTGTTGGTTATTGTTTGCTTGTTTACTATGTGATGTGATGTGATGTGAAGTGTTGTGTTGTGTTGTGTGTTGTCGTTGTTATGTGTTTGTGTTGTATTTGTTTTGATTGACATTGGGTGTTGTGATTTGATGTGGGTGATGTTGAGTGATGTTTGTTGGTGGTGAAGGGTATGAAGTGGTTGTGTTTGTGTTGTTAATGATTGATTGTGTGTAATTGGTATGAGGGAGTGTTGTTCCTGTAAGCGCAGATCCGCGTTAGCGTTGTCTGTCGTCGCAGTGGGAACTACATGAAGGTTGGATCGATTCCATTGTGGGTGAGATGGCGATGTAGCTGTTTCAATATGGGGTCGTACATTTGTTGAGGAGGTGATTATTATGTATTGTTGTTTGTGTTGTGGTGTGTTGTTTGTAGCCTGTGGTTTTGGTGTATGGTGTTGTTGGCTTTGTGTGTCTGTGAGTTTGTGTGATGAGTTGTGTGTTGTTGAGGTATTGTCTCTTGGATTATATGATGTATTGGGTTTTGTTGCAGTGTGTGTGTGTGTGTGTGTTAGCGCGAGTGTCAGTTGTGGGTGTAGTTGTAGTTGTATGTGTGGTTGGTTGTTTTGTATATGGTTTGCTAGTGAATGTATTGTTTTGGATGATGTTCGTTGTTGTTGTTGTTGTTGGTGGTGGTGGTGGTGGTGTCGTTGACGGTGACATTTGTGGCGTTGTTGGTAGTGGAGGTGTTTGTGTATGAGTTTGTGAGTTGGTTAGGTAGTTAGTGAGTTTCCAGTTATCGATGTTGTTGTCGTTGTTGGTGTTGTTGATGATTGTGTTGTAGTTGTAATTGTGGTGGTGTTGGTGTTGGTGGTATGTTTGTGCGTGTGCGTGTGCGTGTGTGTGTGTGTTTTTGTGTTTAGGGTTGATGAGATTGATGTGTTGAGTGTTTTGATTATGAGAGTGTGGTAGTTTGTTGGGAGTGAGTGATGTGTTTATTTTTGTGTGTATGCATAGGTTTGTTTGTTGTACTTGTTGAATGGGGGAAGGGGGGGGTATATCAATGATGACAAGGAAGTGTTCAGATCTCATGAATTTGCAATGCTCTAGAATTACTCTGATAGTGTTATGTGGTTTGTATTAATGTTGATATATGTATTTGACGTGAGTGTTTATGTTTATTTTGTGTATTTGTGTTGTCCATTTCAGAAGGTGTTATTGTTGTTGTGGAGTAGTACGCTCGCTATGAGGTGAAATGGTTGACGTTGGTTTGTGGAGGAGGAGACGTTGGGGATTGTGGCGGACGATGGGTATGTGATGATTGTTTATTGTTATGCATTGGTATTGTATCTGATGTATGGTGGTTGGGTGTATATTTTAGTTGATTTGAGGCGGTTAATGGTGTGAGTGTGTTGGTTATTGTTTGCTTGTTTACTATGTGATGTGATGTGATGTGATGTGAAGTGTTGTGTTGTGTTGTGTGTTGTCGTTGTTATGTGTTTGTGTTGTATTTGTTTTGATTGACATTGGGTGTTGTGATTTGATGTGGGTGATGTTGAGTGATGTTTGTTGGTGGTGAAGGGTATGAAGTGGTTGTGTTTGTGTTGTTAATGATTGATTGTGTGTAATTGGTATGAGGGAGTGTTGTTCCTGTAAGCGCAGATCCGCGTTAGCGTTGTCTGTCGTCGCAGTGGGAACTACATGAAGGTTGGATCGATTCCATTGTGGGTGAGATGGCGATGTAGCTGTTTCAATATGGGGTCGTACATTTGTTGAGGAGGTGATTATTATGTATTGTTGTTTGTGTTGTGGTGTGTTGTTTGTAGCCTGTGATTTTGGTGTATGGTGTTGTTGGCTTTGTGTGTCTGTGAGTTTGTGTGATGAGTTGTGTGTTGTTGAGGTATTGTCTCTTGGATTATATGATGTATTGGGTTTTGATGCAGTGTGTGTGTGTGTGTGTGTTAGCGCGAGTGTCAGTTGTGGGTGTAGTTGTAGTTGTATGTGTGGTTGGTTGTTTTGTATATGGTTTGCTAGTGAATGTATTGTTTTGGATGATGTTCGTTGTTGTTGTTGTTGTTGTTTGGTGGTGGTGGTGGTGTCGTTGACGGTGACATTTGTGGCGTTGTTGGTAGTGGAGGTGTTTGTGTATGAGTTTGTGAGTTGGTTAGGTAGTTAGTGAGTTTCCAGTTATCGATGTTGTTGTCGTTGTTGGTGTTGTTGATGATTGTGTTGTAGTTGTAATTGTGGTGGTGTTGGTGTTGGTGGTATGTTTGTGCGTGTGCGTGTGCATGTGTGTGTGTGTGTTTTTGTGTTTAGGGTTGATGAGATTGATGTGTTGAGTGTTTTGATTATGAGAGTGTGGTAGTTTGTTGGGAGTGAGTGATGTGTTTATTTTTGTGTGTATGCATAGGTTTGTTTGTTGTACTTGTTGAATGGGGGAAGGGGGGGGTATATCAATGATGACAAGGAAGTGTTCAGATCTCATGAATTTGCAATGCTCTAGAATTACTCTGATAGTGTTATGTGGTTTGTATTAATGTTGATATATGTATTTGACGTGAGTGTTTATGTTTATTTTGTGTATTTGTGTTGTCCATTTCAGAAGGTGTTATTGTTGTTGTGGAGTAGTACGCTCGCTATGAGGTGAAATGGTTGACGTTGGTTTGTGGAGGAGGAGACGTTGGGGATTGTGGCGGACGATGGGTATGTGATGATTGTTTATTGTTATGCATTGGTATTGTATCTGATGTATGGTGGTTGGGTGTATATTTTAGTTGATTTGAGGCGGTTAATGGTGTGAGTGTGTTGGTTATTGTTTGCTTGTTTACTATGTGATGTGATGTGATGTGATGTGAAGTGTTGTGTTGTGTTGTGTGTTGTCGTTGTTATGTGTTTGTGTTGTATTTGTTTTGATTGACATTGGGTGTTGTGATTTGATGTGGGTGATGTTGAGTGATGTTTGTTGGTGGTGAAGGGTATGAAGTGGTTGTGTTTGTGTTGTTAATGATTGATTGTGTGTAATTGGTATGAGGGAGTGTTGTTCCTGTAAGCGCAGATCCGCGTTAGCGTTGTCTGTCGTCGCAGTGGGAACTACATGAAGGTTGGATCGATTCCATTGTGGGTGAGATGGCGATGTAGCTGTTTCAATATGGGGTCGTACATTTGTTGAGGAGGTGATTATTATGTATTGTTGTTTGTGTTGTGGTGTGTTGTTTGTAGCCTGTGGTTTTGGTGTATGGTGTTGTTGGCTTTGTGTGTCTGTGAGTTTGTGTGATGAGTTGTGTGTTGTTGAGGTATTGTCTCTTGGATTATATGGTGTATTGGGTTTTGTTGCAGTGTGTGTGTGTGTGTGTGTGTTAGCGCGAGTGTCAGTTGTGGGTGTAGTTGTAGTTGTATGTGTGGTTGGTTGTTTTGTATATGGTTTGCTAGTGAATGTATTGTTTTGGATGATGTTCGTTGTTGTTGTTGTTGTTGTTGGTGGTGGTGGTGGTGTCGTTGACGGTGACGTTTGTGGCGTTGTTGGTAGTGGAGGTGTTTGTGTATGAGTTTGTGAGTTGGTTAGGTAGTTAGTGAGTTTCCAGTTATCGATGTTGTTGTCGTTGTTGGTGTTGTTGATGATTGTGTTGTAGTTGTAATTGTGGTGGTGTTGGTGTTGGTGGTATGTTTGTGCGTGTGCGTGTGCGTGTGTGTGTGTGTGTTTTTGTGTTTAGGGTTGATGAGATTGATGTGTTGAGTGTTTTGATTATGAGAGTGTGGTAGTTTGTTGGGAGTGAGTGATGTGTTTATTTTTGTGTGTATGCATAGGTTTGTTTGTTGTACTTGTTGAATGGGGGAGGGGGGTATATCAACGATGGGTATGTGATGATTGTTTATTGTTATGCATTGGTATTGTATCTGATGTATGGTGGTTGGGTGTATATTTTAGTTGATTTGAGGCGGTTAATGGTGTGAGTGTGTTGGTTATTGTTTGCTTGTTTACTATGTGATGTGATGTGAAGTGTTGTGTTGTGTTGTGTGTTGTCGTTGTTATGTGTTTGTGTTGTATTTGTTTTGATTGACATTGAGTGTTGTGATTTGATGTGGGTGATGTTGAGTGATGTTTGTTGGTGGTGAAGGGTATGAAGTGGTTGTGTTTGTGTTGTTAATGATTGATTGTGTGTAATTGGTATGAGGGAGTGTTGTTCCTGTAAGCGCAGATCCGCGTTAGCGTTGTCTGTCGTCGCAGTGGGAACTACATGTTTGTTGTTATTGTTGTTGGTGGCGTGTTGATGATTGTGTTGTAGTTGTTGTTGTGTTCGTGTTGGTGTTTTTCTTGTATTCGTGTGTATTTTTTTACATGTTTTTTATTATTGTTTTGTGTCATATTTTTTCGTGTCACCTATTTGTGGACGAATGATTTGTGTTCCTGCGTCTGTTGACGGTCTCATTTTCTCTATTTTGGTTCTACGTTACCGAGTTCGCGTCATTGAGTTTTTCCTTTCTCGGGTTTTGTTTGTTTTTTCTTTGTCGTTAATTATTTTGTTCATAATTTCGGTTTCTGTGCAGAGCTCTGTGTCTGGTATTAGGGAATTTAAGGTAGTCTGCCGATAATTTTCACGGAATGCCTTATCATCGTATGGGTGTTCAGAATAAGAAAATTCGTGTATATTCATATATTTTATTATATTAAAGTTTCATCTGTATATGACAAAATGAAATATTTAAAGGTTTTCATAAATAAAATAATATACATTGTACGAGAATAATGTTTATAACTGTCCTTATTTGAATTATTGACATGGATGGTAATTGCGAGTGAACTGAATTCTTTATCACATGGTCATCGTTTGTCGGTTTCATACCTTCGATAACTTTTCGTATGTTCTGACCTACTGATTGTTGCTGCTGTAATCTGTGCTTTGTTTGCAGTCTTTCTGCCGATGATTTACCCCAGTCATGAGTGTTACTCGTTAAGAATAATGACTGTTTTGGATTGGGAAATGTTCTGAAAGAATAAAAATGAGAAGTAACAATGATAACAAACGGAAATAAGGAAGTAGTAATTGCTCATTTTTGGCATAGTTAAACTTTAAGCACCACTAACTACCAAGTAAGAAACGACCTTTAACGAAACAATCACATGGAAGAGGCGTTTTTGGTTATGAAAAAAGGACATAAAACCTGCATAATATTGTTACAAAGGGTATCTTCTCTGTTTATAGTCCTAATCTTGTTGTTTATTCTTCCCCAAAATCCTTCTGTAGGATTGGTATGTCCCTGTAATGGTATCCACAAAATCATCAGAGTGGTTCACTGTGTGATGAATATATCCTGGGGATGACAGGGAGTTATAATCTTCCCACTCATCGGTGTGTTGTATAAATCTCTTTCACCAGTTGAGTGATAATAGGTAATAAGGTAGTCGACTTTCTGTCTGCTGTTCTCTCAACGAATCCTTTCTGTATAGAGGTGTCGTAAAAGCCGATCACCCGAACATTGTTTCCTCGTTTGGGACCACAGTGGTATTTTTTCTTCAATAAGACAGTTTCTTCCACGTGTACGACGACACTGTATCCTCCTTATAACGAAGTAATTCTCTCCATTTCCCATGACGCGATGTCTCTGCAGTAGTGGTACCACTAAACTGTTTGCACGAGGCTATTTTCAGTTTTAGCAGCTGCACTTCTCACTGCTTAAAAACCCAGTAGTTACAAATATACGAAATCTGGATTAAGGACAGATGGGACCTAGCAAAAAATGTTCCTACGGAATATTATAATCATCAGCTTTCCTTCCCTAACACTTACTCGTCTCAAACAAACTTCACAACGATGGATATATCTATCAATTGTCCTACTGAAGCTTTTTATACCCATGACACCTCCACATGGACGAATTCTTTCCTTCATAAGAAACCCCACATCCAAGCGATACTGGAAAACCTTACCGTCACCAAACTGCAACTGCAACTTGTTTAGAGCAGGCATTTGACTTGAATCAAGCGGAACTAACGTTCAAGGTCATTCTGTGATCGGTGTTTAGTGGTGCTTGGAGGTTAACTTGGCACGACTTCTTTATCTTTATCACTTTATCTTTTCTGATGATGTATTCTATTTGATCCGCCTTTATATAAGTTTCTTTTGTTTTTTCTAGGCGCTTTATGGCTGTGAAACATGGGCATTGCGAATTGAAGAAGTGAAAAAGCTTGGCGTTTTCGACCATAAGTGTTTGCGTTGCATCCTTTGTCTTAAATGGTATAATATGTTCTGAAAGGAATGATGTTGGGTGTATTGTTGAAGAGGGAGGGGTAGTCATCCGATGACGTTTCAAAGCCACACCGATCCAGGTGTGGTTTAATTCCTCGATAGTTTAAGAAATAATAGCTTGAGACTGCTGGTGATAATGGTGCAGATGGGCTAACTCTTCATTAGCCCCTGAATCCATCGAATTCTCTTTTTATTTTCGATATAGTTTATGCTTATTTTAAGACATTTATGTTTATTGTAGTTATATTGTGGATTATGTCAGTTTAAACTGCTGCCCTTTTGTGAAAAGTTCTACATTGAAAGTCTAGTTAAGTCGCAAGCACAATTTTTTTTTGTTTATATTGACGTCTATGTGGAATTATGCCAAACCTTAAAGTCAACTGTTAATTTAGTACATACAAATACAAAATTTCATGAATTATTTCTTATTTTGTAACGTATATTTGCTTTAATGGTCAGTAGATTATTAGAGGTTGAGATTAGAGCTTGATAAATTAATCTGTTATAATATAAAGATAGGTAACGAACTCACAGCAGTTAGAGAACCATTGAGAAGCAAGGATTACTGGACGGTTCTTTCATCTTTGTTCGGCACCCTTCAATAGCACATTAGCAAGATTCCGTCAGGGATCGAACCCAGGAGCGTCAGTTTGCAAGGCGAACTTTGTATACTGTGGAGCCACTGGTATGAATTCCGGAAAGTTGGAACTTAAAGGGCATTTGTTTCCGCTCTGGTTTAATTGTGTATTGGTAGAGGTATAGTATCGTGTCTTGTAATTTATTCGAGTGATAACATAGCAAACTGGGTCGACAGACTTAGTTGAAGGCGGAAAAATTTTACCTTAATTATTGACTGTTATGCTGGATTGATATGAGAAGAGGCGTTCAGCAAAAAGTTGCTTTTTTCACTGATGTCATTCTCAAGCTTTATAATCGTACATGTATTATAATACATTAATCTCAGCAACGAAAGGAATGTTTCAAATGAAGTGTCATTGAAATCTTGGGTTATATATAACAATTATGTTATACAGAAAGTAATAATGAGGTGTAAACGTAAAAAAAGTTAACTAAATAAATTGAGTGACGCAACATAGTTGACAGGATGGAATGGAACTCAACTAAAATTTCAAGAGAGTTGAACCTTAAGACTGGTATCAGAAAAAGTAGAAATGTAATAGTGGAAAAGGAGGAAAGTAATGAAACTGAAAAAATCAGGTTTAACAGAAAAATAATTATCAAATAATTATTATCAGTGATTGAACAAACTTCTTCAGTGTGAAGACTTTTGGATTTAACACAAGGATTGCCGTGGCTCACATGATTTGAATCGTACTTGTTTGGCAAGACTTCTGTTCAATGCCACTTGTTTTAACTAAGTGAATAAGAATCTCTAGGCTTTACTGAATTTGATTGGTTGGAGGACTTCATCATGAGCTGACATCAGTTAGAGAACCATTGCAATACCTAGGAGTACTGGATAGCCGTTTCGTCCTAGTTTAGAACTCCTCAGCAGTGCGTCCCTGCTGGAATTCGAACTCAGGATCTTCTGGTTACAAGGCAAGTGATCTCGTAGACCATTAAGCCACTGGGACCCGGTCAAATGGTCAGCCTATGAATTCTGACTTCTGCCAATTCGTGACATAGTGCGACCACTTTGCAATGTCTTCTTTGATTAGTTACTGCCTTACCTCCAATCTGCTGCACCCTACTTCTCCACTAGAACCCCAGGTTTACTGCATGAATAGGACAAGTCGCTAGTGGGCATTAGTTGTCAGCTCATTACGAAATTCTCCAACTAATCAAACAAAATTCCCTACAAAATTAATACTTTACTGGATTTTTTGAAAGAAGAGCTGCAGATTGACCTACTGGTATCATCGTTACTGTTACTGTCATTAATCACTGTGTTAACTTTTACAGCTGGTGTTTTTTAGTTTCATGCCTGTTATACAACAAATGTTAGTTAAATCAATATAGTTCAACTAGGAATTCACCTAGATTAGTTTGGTTAAGTTTTAACAGATTTACCAGACTGTATCGCTTGTCTGTTTTCACTAATAACGTCAGATATTGTACAATATAATCATAACTGTATAGTATGAAATGCGTACATACCTTGGTTTGAAGTCTTCTATTTTTATCCATGAATTGTCGAAGTTTACATATTTCGGTCGAAATTCGGGCACATCTTTTTCCTTCATAGGTAGTATACCTTCGTTAACTTTTGTTTGTTGCCTTTAAGTAGAGAAAAGTGTGCAAAACTTCTGCAATTAAAGTTAAGTATGATTTATTAAATGTACATATGACTTCACCACATCGAACTCTAAATACTGGAGTGACACAAAGCGCCTAGATGCGATAAATTACTCTTATTTCTATCCAAAGATACTAGCTAAAGATGTGACTTGATTTTTTGAGAAGATGAAGAGTGCTTTATCTCTTTCTTCAGGGTATTAATCTTCTAACGTTAGCTTCAATAAACTGGCCGGCATCTTGCTTGGCAGAGTTTGCGATACGCGTGAAGAATTAACTTGTGAGGAGTAGTAGTCTGTGAATTCATTGATCAGTTATTAAACCATTGTGTTTACAATAGTAGGCTCGCAAGTGTACTGGTTAGGAGGAAGCTCGTTAGTGCAAGAGACTAGACTGCATCGATGGTCATATCAAGATCATCGTAAGTGAAAAAAACAACCGAATAAATTTTCTTCCAAATTCATTCAAAAAACATTTCAGTTAGTCATACGAAAGGAAACTAGTAAACATGACAAAGAAAAGAAATAACGCAAAACTCTGATTTTCAGAAAAGCTGAAATCACTATGTCTTTGAACAGTTTTAAGTAAAACATCTCGGTCAGCTATATGATAAAAAGTAACTCAATCTATCCAGTATCCTCCAATGATTTTGAAACCCCTATTTGTGAAATTTTTCAAAACAATCAGAACTTGTCAGAAATTATATGTAACACGGCTGTTACTGACAAAATACGGGACAAATAAATATGAAGTAAAAGTTTGGATGGCTAATACATTTTATGAGGCGTATCGAAAAGACGCCTACTTCACATATTCGCGAACCAGCTGAATTGCACGTACTAGTGGATGCGTTAAAACGAAAGTGTAATACATGCGTACACTACATTTAGCACAATCGAAATCTATTCAGGACTCCTTAGATTCCAGTAGTTCTCTAAATGGCTTTCTGAAAACTTACGTCAGCCGTCATAGCGTGGTCCTCCGCTCCGATTCCAAAGAGGAGTATTTTTTTTCCGGTGATTTGAAGTTTCTGTGGAAAATGGATTGACTTTCCAGGTAAGGGTCACTAGCCCCACGTCCAACCTTCCCTCGTCTTCAGTTCCTAGGATCAGCTAGTGGACTAATGAACTAGGTTTCATTTTACTATTTTGAATCATTCAAAAGTTGTCTGTTAAATCACATTCCTGCTGTAATAATGTTAAAAAGGGTCTGAAAAAAGCCTAATTTAAGGTGCAAATTGAATTGAGTAGCCTATCAGTTAGTCATTTTCATCTTCAAGAGTCCTTGTAACAAGGCTAAGTGATGATTCTATATAAAATGTATGAAGTATAAGTGAATTAGGCACAGTGAAGATGTAAAAAACTGTTAACACGTGGAAGTTGAAAAGTTCATCTCCAGAAGAATATATATATTTGAACATTTACGAATTATGACTGCCCGTGTTGAATAGCGAAAAAAATGCTGAAGTAGTTTTGTAGGAATAAAAAACAAATCACAAAGATGTAATGAATACTCAGTTAATCAAAAGTAGATTCAATAAGGTATATTCCATACTTATTTGTCATAACTTGAGGCTAGATAGTGCTATCCGTGAATAGCATAAGATAAAAAGATAATTCTTACGGCTGACTATGGGAAGACTTAAGATAACTTTGTAGTGAGAGCAGGCTGCTAGACAATTGGTAGACATTAATTTACGTCAATGTCTAGGTCACTAATATTGGCCGTGAGAAAATATGAACAAGACTGATTCAACAGTCAATCACGGCAGACTTGACGTGGGCAAATACGAATCGCAGATACATGGCTTAACTTTCCGAGTAACCAGTCACAAGCAGTACAGAATAACCTTGAGCAAGAAACAACCAATCAGAAGACTGTGTTTGTCTGCTTGAATAAGGCATAATAATGTGCACGAAATATACATAAATACGTGCTGAATTCCGTAATAAAACGATCTGTTGCCTGGCCCTTGTCTTCTGTTGTTACAACTTTACCCGATCAGTGCTATGAGTCTGTGAACCTCAAGCAGCCTATCAATAATACGAAAATCGAAATATTCGGCATGCCTCGGGAGAATGAATTAACTGAGTATGCCAGAATTATTATATACTAATTGGAACACTGAGAGAAGATGAACATTGATGATCATGAAAAACTTCAGAAACTATCAGTTTGTGTCGATCCTACTGAAATAACAGAAATAAAAGTCATTCTCTTTTAGTAAGGTTTATACTGAGAACCCCATACAACAGATGCGACCATTGCACAGCTTACTGTGTGTATGTAAAAGCCCACATGGAATGAACAATACTTACATCTTTATAGTTTTTGTCCAGATAGCTATAAACGAGCACTAGTCAAGACTATGTACTATAGAGCGAGAAGAATATGCTCTGCAGAGAAACTAGAGGAAGAATTTATGAACCTCGAAAAGGTGCTGAAAAATAACGGCTATCCTCAAAGATTCATTAACAAATATGGAAGATGTGAAGGCTCAAATACCAAACAAATCACAGTTGAAAAAAGCCTGTCTTCATTCAACTAGATTTTAAAGGTGAAGACATTGCAGAAATGGTCAACAGAAGACTGAGAACATCACTAGCCAGAGCCTATCCTGCAGCTAAGTTGGTTCCCATCCATCGAACAACATGCTCTTTGGTGTAGTCGAAAGTCGATAGATACCCTTCTCATGTTAACTCCAACTGTGTATACAAATTTACGTGTATCTGTGGGAGCAGTTACATTGGGAGAACAGAAAGAAGGGCACACTTCCGATTTTCTGAACATGTGCCGAAAAGTCTACATCTCAAGGGAACAAACTCTTATAGTAGCGCTATTACCAGACATCTCCTCGACACGGGTCATGAGGTGGAAATCGAGAAATCCTTCAAAATTATCAATAGACATAGGAGCTCGATTCTCCTCAAGTTTGCCGAAGCAATTTCTATCAAACGCTTGAAACCAGATTTATGTGTTCAGAAAGAATCAGTTATTAGTCTTTCCTTGCCTTGGTAACTGGATGTCTTTTTTCGCCCATCTGATTACGTAATCTCTGTCTTTAACCTCACCTTCCTTTTATAATCTGTAATTTTGTTTGTCTCTTGTTTCTATGATTTGAGTTCAACTCAGTACATTGTTACTTGACTTATTAGTCACTATGCGTCGGTGGTATAGCGGTTAGGACGTTCGCCGACCATGCATATGGTCCGGGGTTCGACCCCCGGCCGGCGCATTCCTTTACCTCACTGAGCCAGAAATAATGCTGGTAAAGAGGAAAGGTTGGGCATGAGGCTAGCAACCCCATCATGTAAAAATTAAACACTGCTACAGAAACTTCAAGCCACTAGTTTGGAGCCCTATGTTCCATTGGGAACGTGAAGGAAAAATTATTTATTTTATTATTATGCGTCTAACGCACATCTCGTCTTTATTATGTAACTCCTTTACTATTTTATGCATACATTTATTTTGTTTTAACTTGAACTGCCTGTGTAAAAACTATATAAGTGCAATTTTCTGAGCACTGTTTACTAATTGTGGAACTTTCTGTCAACTGATAAAATGTAAAATTTGCAAGTATGCTAAAACGTTTCTGTACTTAAACCTCATAATTTATTTAGGCTGTAAGCAGCTGATGAGAAGCCAACGAAATAAATGATGGTACCATATTATTCTGCACAAACCACTGTTGTTCTTGCTTCATTCAAATTCATCAAGGGGAATAAATGCATGTAAAACAATTATTGATGATTTTACTAGTGTTAGATATTTCAGAAATAAATAAAGACGTCAAAGCACACTGGATAACAATTATCGTTTATACTCACCTTAACTGCTTGTTAAATTTTTCGAATCGAAGTGGTTTCTCGGATATTTGACTCCTCCTTTCATCAGTGATCATTTGTTCTTGTCGTGGGACTGGCGTGACAATGTAACCAGCCGTTCTCAAGTGATCAATGATTGTCTCTCCGTTTCCAAGAAAATGTGCTATGAGTTTAGAAGAATAAAAATAATTATGAATATACATCTTGCTAGCATACACTACCGGTTGATATGAATGGTATGCAACTACTCGTCTCAATCAGTCAGTAGTATATAAGATAAATTTTTCGCAATTTCACATTTTCATAAACTCAAAGGTATTACCATTGTCAATAACATTGTCATTCAATTTGAAGGGATTAATACAGATAGGTGTCAATCAGCGCTAAATTAACACGAATCTGGAGGGGATTACTTTGAAAAACCAGTTGGTATTTTTAGGTCGTAGGGCATTAAGCGTGGAATAATGGCCCAGTATATAAAGGTACAGATCATTTCGTATTTCGCCATTAATCAGAAAACAGTGGTAAACAAAGTAGTGTTCGACAGCTGTTTCATCTCAGCAGTACACACCAAATTTATCGCGGGCCATCAAGCTCTGTGATCATCCATGTGATATGTACCCACATGATGTGTGCTTTGTTTCTGACAGCCTATTATATTTTCCTATGTGTACATGGATCGATATTTCATTATAACTGACAATATGCTAAATAAACAATGTATGACTTTGTTATCACATGACATTACAACCAATCATGTTAAGACTGGCTATTTATTGGTTCATGTGTATTAGCCATTTTCATATATACTTTTGTATTAGACACTTGTACATTATTATTCTGGTTCACACACATTTCGTACATCTAAGTACCCTTTCACTCACACTCTTGTGTGACATTTATTTTCCTTGTCTGGAAAAATACAAGTATCATTGTAAACCTCGTGGTCTTCTGATTTCCCTCTTTCCGCGTCAGGACTATTAACTACTCGACGAGTACATAACATAATTGGCGACGGGGAAAACTCTAACAACTCACTCAGCAGCAGTACATAACACCATGTGACCACTGAAAGTACCCAGCTTTTATCACGCTTGAGATATGGACTTCGGGACATCCTGTTTAGAGCAGGTTGGTAACAAGCAGTTGTTTTTCAGGCAGATTTAGGACTTCTCAGAGTACCATTGATACAGATGCATATTTTCAGAAACTGAAAATCGTAAACTACTAGATCTTGATTCAATGCCAAGGTTTTACTGCATCCATACCTCTAAACTTATAGTCTTAGTAAATTATGTATTATTATTATGTATTCAGTATGGAAATATTACTCATTAAACATTGGTTAAGATGTCTAGAAGGATGACGAAACGTTCATAATTGAATATGATACACGAAAGAATTTACTCTCAAAGTAACCTGGAATTTCCCTCTGCTGCATTTCACTGGAGTAAAATGACTAACATGGTTAAATAATAGTATTGATAGCTTTGTTCTGAACGTTACATTCCTATAAAGTACATCATTGCCAGCATATTTTCTTGCAAATGTATTTACTATTTCTATAGAATCTGTAGTATACTGTCTGACGCAATAATATTGGATCTTATGAATTCTTTGACTCCGCAGCCTACCTATTCTTTCTTTCCTATCGAAAAATGCATATTTCAGTAGGAAGAGAGCTAATTCAAAATACGCGTAGGAATATGTTACGACTCAAGGATTGGCTGATTAGACGGTTAAAACAATATGAAATGGTTTAAATTTGATGTGCTATTCTAGGTAAAGTAGATATTTAAACAGGGTAATTTAAGGTCTTAAAAGATTGCAACCGTGAGGAACTCCGATGCGTTTTTAAATATTTTTTCTGCGCTTTGAAATTTCTGTAGCAACTGGAGTGATTTCATAGGGTAAGGTGGCTAGTCCCAAGTCCGACCTTTCTTACATTTTCACCAGTTTCGAATGGACTAGAAAGTTCAGTGATATCGTTTACCAGGCTCTTCAGTGGAGTACGAATCGAAAACGACGATTTGTCTATCCACGACTGACCTGGAAGAGGTCGTGTGAAGAGAAAACCAAGTAGCGATGTGCCGCTGAATCCTTAGGCGCCAGTGGGAATCCAACAGAATAATAATGGTAACGAAATCCAAAACCAAATTATAAACTCATAAATGTGAAGCATACCTTCTATTCATAAATGATCCGCATTCAGACATTAATGAAAACGAAACAACTAATTCAGCGAAGAGGCTCTTTTCAGGGAATTTGTTCACCAAGTTGTGTAATTGTATTTAAATACAATTTTCTCATGAAAGAGGATACTAACAAAAGTGATGGATTGTCATAATAATAGTTGTTAACATTAGCCGATGCATAAGAGGATCTGAGTAAGTGTAGTAGAGGTATGTGGTCAAACGAATAATTTTAGCGGAAAATATGAAATAACGGTGGACTTCTCAAGGTGTAAAGGACTTATAGAGACTTCATAAACAAACAAACGAAAATCAACTTATTAGAGGTCAAGAGAACTATTACCAAGATAGTAAAAGTGGTTTTATAATTTTCTATTATATATATATAGCTGCGGTTTCCTTGTTTGAATGGCTAGAGCTTCAGCAATCCAAAGGAGACAAAAACATATTGTCTTTGGTAGTTTGTTCTTAAATTTCGTAGATCATTTTGAAGAAGGCATTTGTTGAGATGGAATGACCTGTGTTGACCAGGTGTTTGATTATCCCACCCCTTATAGAGCCACTACTGCCTTTCTGCAACCATGTGTGATAGTGTTCTTCAAATATGATTATGATAACTCATCGCTTTTGTCCCCACCCTCTTTCATGGAAAAAAATTCTATATAAATGAGATTGGTACAGCTTACTGAACGAATTCACCGAAAAGAGCCTCTTCGCTGAACTACTTGTTTTGTTTTAATACAACACACTTTCATCATTCTACGAATTCAACAGATTTCTTTCCTATCCCATATATTATATTATAATTTAAACTAATTTCGAATTTAAAAGTTATTATATTGTTTCACATTAAAGCAGTTTCGATGAATACTCACCTGCACCGATAGCAAAGAATGCTGACTGATTTAATGCTTCTGCTAGTTTTAATTTATTCACAATCTCTTGTGCCATACGTTCATTTCGTTTAACTATCAATTCTTCATTTAAGTAATTCTCTAAATCGATTAATGTCTGAATTTGACTTGAAGTCAATACTTTTGTAATTTCTTTGTCGATTAAATAACCTGACAATAATGTTGGAGAAGATGTTGTAGTGTGTTGTTGATGATTATTTTGTCCAGAAATATTATTCACTATATTAAAATGCGTTTTATCAATTGAGTCATTTGCTTTATCAGGGATAGTGATAATTAAGTTGCCCATTGAAGAATTACCAGTTTCTTCTTCAGTTGATGTCAATGATTTCGATGGATTACTTTGAGTTGAATACATTCTGGATAGTGTAACATTTAAATCACCGCAATTATAGTGTTCAATTAATTGCTCTGTTGGACTATTGAATAAATTTGTGCGGTGAATTTGTTTGTGTTTAGAATCTGTTAACATTGAATAGTTGAAATCTTGGTTCCTTTGATTTAATAAAATGTTTTCATTAAAACTATTATTATTATTATTGTTATTATTGTGTGTAAAGTTAGCAGACATCTCTTTATATTCATGATACATATTCTCTAAATTGTTAAGTGTCATTTCAAGAGCAAACGTAACCTAAAATTCAAATAAAATAAGGTGGACTTTGAAATTAAACCATGTCATCAATATCTGTTCAAGGTTACAGTATCATACACTCTTACACCTTTATATATTTATGTAAAAAGACATGATAAATGTTCTTTTGTATCAATGCGTGTGAATAATCATCGACACCAATTTGATTGGGATAAAGTGAAATTTTAAATAGAGGAACACCAGAAGTGCCACGGAATTCCTAGAAGCCTGGTACTCAAGTGAATTAGCAATTAACAAACACATTATTGTAGACCAACTATACCAACTAATAAAACATAAATCACATAACAAGAAAATTTTAATCCTAAGTCTATGCAAATGATCAATAGAGACGTAAGCTAACTACCAGTCACGACACTGGTCTCCAGGAGATACAGGTGTATCATTCATGGAGAATTTTATACTAGAATTTGCTCTGAAGATGTTACTTAGAAGGACGATGAAAGCTTCGCAATTCAGTCAACTAGCCCACTGAATTTGTGGCAGTTTAACAAATTCTCAGGTTGGCTTTTGTCATAAACTCATCTCAGCTGAAAGAAAAATTGAAAATCACAAGGTTCCTAGCATTTTCTTCATCTTCATAATTTTATCATAGCTCCTCAGTCATGTCGCCAGTGATCCAGTTCGTAGAGTTACTAACTTTCGAGTTGGTTCATGATTCTTTACTTCATGTTAACTCATTATGTAGTGCCATCGCTAACCAGTGCCTGTCAGCCTGAATAAATGCAATCTTTGCATACATTATAAACCAGTCCGTCTTACACTAAAATAAATAGTCCTCCGCACTTAGTGTGTATTGTAGACAATATCATTACCACAAGTAGTAATGTCTTTTTTAAGATGATATGAATTTGTTCAATTCTTCAGTTATCTTACCAATAGTTGCATTAGAAACTGACTGAGTGCTCAAGGCTTCTAATGAAGTGTAAACTTGTGTGCATAACTGATGTGAAAAAAAATAACTACTTTCACAAAAATATGAGTTGCACTCAAATTACTCAACCACTGCAATGCATCCGCTTATATGTAATCTCAAATTAGTGTGGAATGGATTAAAATCATTATAATTTGGTTAGGATAGAGAGGTTAATCATCTGATCATTGTTTATCAAGTCAAAATCAAACACCTGCTAACGGAATAATGGAGGAGCTATACCGGATGTACAGAAAACTGCAATAAAAATATGTAGGAACAAAACTTTATAGAGAAAGTTATGATTTCGTGTAAATACATTGATGTGATTATGAGCAATGAATTGGGCTCAAAACGTCATGCAGTTATATTAAAATGAACATATCTAATATGAAATGCATACCTTACCGTTTTACAATCACGAATTCATCTAAGACTAATTAAATTACCTGATTAACGCTGATCCTGTTCAGTGGTTCACACTGATCATTCACTTGTTCAACTGCGCCATGTTTTTTACCCAATCGTTGTGCTTCTTGTGCAAGAAACAAATCTAGTACAGGTACACCACGATCAGATATTTCACCTTTCGATAAACTATTCAACAGTAATAACAGCCAGATTGGTCGTTTCTCTTTCCAGTCTTTTGTTAATGTTTCGTATAAATAGGTGGCGTAGATTTTTTTCTCCGGTTCAATCCATGAATTGATAACATGACGTAGATTGTTTAAATATTCATCTAAGCGTTTAATTAAATCTGGTTTCAGTAAACTTGTAATTGTCTGATTTTTAGGTAGAATTTGACAATTACTCAATTCACTCAATGTAACCGGATCAGTTAGGTCAAGTTCAAAATAGATAATATCAGATTGTGTAAAACTTTGTTTAACTGCAGGATCAATTTGTGACCAAACATGTGTATAAGCTACGTGTAGTGTACCGAAAAGATATGAGATTGGTTCAGTTGAAATTGTCCAAAGGAATGTATCTTTTTGTTTTGTAGTACTCTACAGAAAGTAAAAATGAACAAGAAAATTTTCTAAACGATGGAGAAAACTGTTAATTTCATTGGTTAAATTTGAGTGTATTATTTTGTAAATTATGACACAAAACTTCTACATTTCAAGTTTGACCATGGAGTGATGTTAGTTAGAGAACTATTGAAAACCAGCACTGGACAGCTCTTGTCCCACTAGTTTGGAACGCATTGGGAGTACGCATACACCGGATTTTGAACCCACGACCTCCCAGTTACAAGGCAAGCTCGTAAATCATTCAGCTACTTGGAACCAATGGCCTGCTTAAATCACAGGGCTACTAGAATTTCCATTCTTTCAAAACGCCTAAACTCTTCCACGTTTCTGATTGTTTTAGTCGTGCAGTTATATCAAATGACAGCTGCATGAACTGGCACGCATGTTTAATTAGCTTTCAACAAAACGCTGCACAATTCTTTAAGGAAATGAAGAAAATATGTATAGAATCGGTTCTCTCTTTATTATTACTCTACATGGAAATCCTGTATAAGGCGGGGACTAAATGCACTGAAACTCTTTGTACTATATGTTCACATACTGTCCGAAATAAAGCTTTATCATCATTATTGACAGACAGTCCGTGAATTCCAACTCCTAATAATCTTGCGATATTTGGCGCAGTCGCCAGTCAATATTGCTGCGGTGGTCGTGCTAAAATCATGCATTAGTATATATCAGAATTTCTGGGCCACTGAGTCGAGTCGCAGTATCTGAATGGCCTACCAGCTTGCTTTGTAACCAGAAGGCTGTGGGTCCGGAAACCGGTGTGTGCGTACTACCAATGAGTCACAAACTTGTGGGATGAAAGCGCCGTCCAGTACTTCAGTGCCGGTTCTCAATCCGTGGTCAAACTCAAAACAAATCGAATCCCTATCAACTAACTTGAAGATCTCTATATTTCCTAAATGGGAGAAGTAATTATTCACTCAACGGACGTTACCAACCTCACTGAATGTTTAAAATGTTGAAGGCTTCAACAATTTAATCCCCGAGGTTATTTGGTCTTACAAGTGTGTTTTTCAAATTTCATCGTGAATCTAACCAACAAAACACCATTATTTAATGACTATGTGGAATGGCGTTTACCCAGCATAAATCTGTAGTTGTTTCCTTCATATTTTCAACTTGCTTCAACTAATCACACACATTTGAAGCACTGGTTCAATTAGAATCAAACCGAATTTAGTCTGCTGAAAACACTGCAATGTATGTTTTTTACTCTGTGTTAAGTGTAGAGTGGAAAATAGACGTTTTTTATTATTTTTTTTATTTATTTTTGATTACAGCTTGATTCCACATTTCATTTTTTGGTACAGGTATGAAATTTTCAGCATGTGATATCGGTAGCCCAAATTTTGCAGGCCAACCATAGATATGAGATGTGCGTTGGCAGGGGATCCAACCTCGGACCATTTGCATGGTCGGTGAGGGTCCTAACCACTGTGCCAATTAATCGTAGATGATGTTTTCATATGATGCTGCATACTACTGATTCACTGAATTAAGTAGTTGTGCACCAGTCACTTCGAGTTGCCCAAAAAGTACTCACTGTTGGTTGATGTGTGTGGGGTATTCAACTACTTACCTCAATCATTTATTTGTTCTTGCTTACTTAATTATCATTCATGGTGTCACGCATATATCACATATGTTGAGATATGAATAATTCCTGCTTTCCCGAAGGAAACAGAGGTGAAGCGTCACCTCCTCGAACACTGTACAACTTGCAAATCATGAATTAATTCTCAAATTGTGAATTTAATTCAATGGTTTTGTAAATTGATACGACGGTAATAAGTTCCTCCTTTTTTGTTTTTCTAGCGTCTTTGTTATTCAGTTTTTTTAAACAGTAAATCGAATAATGCTTCATTGTTGTAATAGTTACTTTTTTCTTTTTTGAAGTTTGAATGTAATTAAAACAATGTTTGTATCGGTGTACTCATTTCTGTACGAATAAATGTGTACATAGTCATTCCTCCCGCCTTCCTCCCCCCTTCACATCCTTTTTTTCTTCCAATCATCAGTTGATTTATAGTATTTATTCTCATATGAACAAAGAAACGTTTTGATGTTACAATTTCAAAGGAAACAGACAATAACAATAATAATATATAATTACTCATAATGACATATTCATCTGTAGAGTGCGCTTACGGATGATTACTTTATGTAAACGCTGATACATGCGTATTTGTGTTCGTTTGAGTGTGTTACATGTATGCAGCTTATATCTGCCAAATTTTGTTTTTTTTTCTTAGTAATATGAAATTACCTTTGAAGATATGGTTAAAAAATGAGAACACAACCGTAGCAATTAAATTATCCGACTCAAAGAATACAAAAACTACAAAAGCATCCATCATTTACTTATTTTATTTTGATTACATCTTGATTCCATACCGTGTTTTTGGTACAAGTATGAAATTTTCAGCATGGATATCGGTAGCCTAAACTTTGCAGGCGGACCATAGATATGAGGTGTGCGTCGGCAGGGGGTCGAACCCCGGACCATTTGCATGGTCGGCGAGGTTCCTAACCGCTGTGCGACAGACGCACCATTGTTTCACTTCCTGAAAAAGTAAAATCATTTTTCCTTCAATAATCTGTTGGCTTTTTTCCATTGATATTCGGTCATTGTGCTAATCATTTTACAGAGATGAAAAACCTCAACACATGACTAATGAATTGTTTCATCAGTTTGATAGAATGCTCGCCAGTCATGCATTTCATCCGATTTAGACTTCCAGCCGATGCACTCTTAGGTCTTACAAAGTTTGCTAGGCGGTAGAAAATCCGTGAAAGTCCAGAAAATCACTGTCTAAAAACAGCACCGCAGCTAGTGAAACATCACAGCTTTTAGCTGTATTTTTCACTCGGAGCTGACAATCGATCAATCTGATCGTTTTTTTGAAAAAAATTTTCCAATACTTTTGGCGTATGTATTCTCAGTTTTGTGAAATATACTGTTAGCTCTTCTGCATAAATGCACTTTATACCTACCTGTTTCAGTGTGTGCTCTGCATTAGTAAGACACCTAGTTGAATCAACTTAGAATTGTGAAATTATGATGGTTAATAGTCGATATCTGAGCATTATTATTATTATTATTGTTCCTTTGGGTTTCTAGTGGAACATAGGGCTTCAACTGAACATCTCCACTTGCTTCTGTCTTCTGCTGTACTTTTCACCTGCATCCATCTTAGTCCATACGCTTTCAACTCCTCTTCACACGATCTCCTCCATGTCACCCTTGCACTGACGTCCCGCACGCCGCTTCCCTTTCGGCCTGGTTCCACTCGAACAATGGCCGGACGCACGCGCGACGCCACCCAGCGGCGGCCTCCTCAGCGAGTGTCCAATCCATCCACCTCCACTTTCTCCTGCATATTTGTTGGCTGGCGATTGGTTCTTGTTTTTTTATTTGGGAAACTATTGAATCTGCATAACTGCCCAACGGCATTGTTGAGGTAATTTTGAATCTTGATATGTTATTATTATTATTGTATAGAATCACATGTTTTCCCGAAAATAACTGTTTTTTGCAGTTGTTTGGGCACTTTAGGACTGAACGTCACTCAGGGAAGTTTTAGTTAGCTGTGCAATAGTATGCAAAGACTGGTTTCCAGCGTTCAGACCACACCACATCTGTTTTGGTCACTACTGGTTCAATACATCGTGTTTCATAATTTTATTTGAACAAAAAGAATATTTGTACTTCCATCAACTGATACAAGATGTATTAGTTGTTTGTAATAAAAGCCTGTTCCAGAACTTTTAAGATATTCTGTTACTTAATTCTGCAAGACTAAGGACACTTAAATACTTGTTGTGCATACAATAAGAATCACCATCACGTGAGTAACTGTTCACTGATAATCTCCAACTTAGCTTTTTTGAAGTGTCAGTGAAAGATGATGTTTCATAAGATTATGTGAAGCAGAAGTGAAATCATCATAAAAAAGTGGTGTTCACTTAGCTCATCACAGAAAAAACCCAGAAAATTAAAGATATCAATGACTGAACTTCAATCAGACATCTCATTCAAAACAAGCATACCCTAAATTTTAAAGCTGCTACAAAATTTAAAGGAAGAACCATATAAACTATTTACATTCTCAACACTTTTGACCTCCAATTTTATTCAACTCATTACGTGAATTCCCTTTAAGTAGAAGAATCATTTATTTTAATGTATAAAATATGAAGGATTTTTTTCATATTGTTGAAATAAAGAAGATATTAGACTTCAGATCCGGCATCCCCTTCGGGTGACACCTAACAACGAGAATGCTGACGATAGTGATTATCGTGATTGCAAATAAATTGGTTATAAGATTTCCCTCGAGAGACAGGAGTATATTTTTACAAAAATTATTCATTTTCTCCTTATAATTTTTGGTGGTATCATTTCGTCAGGTGAATATAACACAAAGGCGTTATCACATAGTTCTGTTGTTATCACCTCAATTCTTTCGTAAATAATAATTAGTTGTTCAATGAAGGTGAACTAAAATCCCGTCGCTTTTCATTGTGCTGATCATCATATGATCACGAGATTTATTTCATTATTATTGTTCCTTGGGTTCCTAGTGGAACATAGGACTTCAACTGAACGTCTCCACTTGCTTCTGTCTTCTGCTGTACTTTTCACCTGCATCCATCTTAGTCCATACGCTTTCAACTCCTCTTCACACGATCTCCTCCATGTCACCCTTGCACTGACGACCAACTCGCCGCTTCCCTTTCGGCCTGGTTCCACTCGAACAATGGCCTGACGCACGCGCGACGCCACCCAGCGGCGGCCTCCTCAGCGAGTGTCCAATCCATCCACCTCCACTTTCTCCTGCATATTTGTTGGCTGGCGATTGGTTCTTGTTTTGTTTGTTTGTTCCCATAGTTTCTTGTTGGTGATTGTTTCCGGCCCGGCCATCTGATCTTCAGTATAGAGTCAGCGAAGACAGTTGTTGATA